GCAGGCAGCGAAACCACTGAGCTAAATCCCTGGGCCCCAAAAGTCATCATTTTAACAGAGGAAAGGAAAAAGCCATATGATCCTGTCACTAGTTGGAGAAAAAGAATTTAGTTTGATACTTTTTCTCCAACTAGTGTCTTGTCTTTCTTACTACATGTTCTTCTTTTGCAGGCAAGGGAATGAAAGCTACATGTCTTTCCTATCTTTTCTTCTTTTAAGTTAAGTAAAATTCTCAAAATGGTTAAAATTAGGAAGTCATCTTTTCTTCTAGGCAGCCATTCTGTTTTAGTGACTTGGTAGTAAAACAGAAAATTGAACCATATTCTTCAGGTTATGGAGGATTTCTGGCCACTCCATGGACCCTACCTGAGGTATGGTAGTGAGGAGTAAACTTTTGGCTTTATTAGCATCTTCTTTCAGGGTCTTTAAAACCTGATCAACTGAAACTGCTTCCTCCTGCTCCTTCCAGCAGTCATAATTGGTTGCCATGGTGATGCATGCATAGCAAATTGCAGTCTCTTTAGCAAGAAACACCTCTGGAACTGTGGCAATATTGATAACATCTGCTTCCCAGGTGCGGAACATGAGGCTCCCTCAATTGTGATCACTGTCCCCTTTGAGTGGCACCACAGTCCCAGCTTCTTAGAGGTCTCTAGGAGGACCTCTCTTGTTTTGGGGCAAAATGGCTCAGCCACTGGAATATGGCACACTCCCCTGGCACAGGAATGACTTCCATCATAGAAGGTCCAAGGCCTGCTGGTGGTCCTGTCAGCGAACTGATCGATAATGATGATGTCACCGGGCTGAATCTCTTCCCTCAAGGAGCCACAGGTGGTGGTCACTATGATGTGTGTACAGCCCTCTTCCTTCAAAATCCAGATGTTTGCCTGGTGATTGACTTTGGTAGGCATGATGGTGTGCTGCCTCCCATGTCTTGCAAGGAGGATGCAATCAACATATTTATCTTCCCCAAAACTAAGGCATCAGAGGGCTTGCCAAAAGAAGTATCCACATATTTTTCAGTTCTTCCTTCTAAAACCTCTGGATCATCCAGGCCCATTCCATCAATTATTCCAATCTCAGTTTAGACAAACTTGCCCGGCACGGAAGCAGTAATTAAACGGTAAAAGGTATCCCGTTGAAATCCAGCATCCTATGCTCACACACCAGCAGCCCCAAGCCTCAATCTATACACCTGGGCTGTACGAGGGTCCTGCATTAGGCAGTCGGCGTTTCAGCCTTCAGCCAGAGACAGGTAGTAGTCACTTGACCTTCACTGGAGGGCTGCTGGCTGGCGACGCACGTGGCCAGGCGGCGGAGACTGGATCGCTTGCTGCGCAGCACGGTAGGGAGCTTTTGAGAGATATTTAAGACCCAAACCAATACAAGCAATGCATTTTTTTGTTCCAGTGAAGGGCTGCATGCCTTGTCTCCAGGACTGTCCTTCAACTTTTTTCTCTATCACCATCACTTCCCCAGTTAACACATAATCCACCCTGAACCTTTACATACCTTTAAGTAATGAAAGATACTTTTCTGTGAAAAATGCTCAATCCCACTCTTCTGCTCTTCCCCTTAAGGCAAACTTACTGAAATCTGCATACATAAACTGCTTGTATCTTCCGTGTAATACTTACTAGTCCCTTCATCAATATGGTCTATGCCCAAAAAACTGCAGTTTTAGTGAAGTAATTCCTGATGGCACAAAGTAGTGATAATGGCAGCTTCCATTTTTAATCAATTATTATTATTTTTTTGGTACCGGGGATCAAACTCGGGTCCTTGTGCTTGTGCAGCAGGTGCTGAAACCACTGAGCTAAATCTCTGGCCTTTAATAAATTATTTTTGATAATCAATTGCTAAACTCACCTTTCCTGACAACTGGGGTCTACACAGTATCAATGTGAAAATGCAATACAGTGACATTTACATTTATGAGATCACCTACCAATCCTACTTCTCTAGGTATTTCTTCAAGAGAAATGAAAAATATGTCTGCACAAAGACTCATACACGGTGACCGGGACTTCATTAATAATTGTTAAAAACTACAAATAGCACAAATGTACAGGTAGTGGTTAAAGTATAAACAAACTGTGGTATAGTCTCTACTCATCAGTTAAAAAGAAAACCATTACTGATTCAGACAACAAAATGTGTGAAAACCAAATACATTTTGCTGCGTAAAAGAAGTCAGATTCAAAAGGCTACACATAGTAGGTTTCCATGAGTCCACACATGTGACATTGTGCAAACGCTGCACTTAAAGAGACAAAAAGCACATTACTGGTGTCAGTAGGGAGTGGAGGTATTGCAAAGTGGCTTGAGAAAACTTTTGGGGATAATTGAACTGCTCTATATTTCTCGAGTGCTGTGGTAGTTATTGACCATATGCATTTGTCAACATTGAATAATGAGCGAGCAGGAGTAGGGAGTTAATTTTGATGGATGTAGGGCTTTTATTTGAAAAAGTTCTGACACACAGATAATCTGGCACCATTCTGGAGCCTGTTTGGATTCAACCTGGATCTCTACAAGGCCACCCTGAGAGCAATGACCTGCATGGGGAGTGTTTCCAAATCCTATGTGCTCATTGGAGGCCATGCATTGAGCTTCCTGTTTGCATACAGCATGCTCACAAATAAATTCCAGGGGATTTGGGGAGTCACTGGAGTCAGACCCCATAAGGAGGAGGATGCCACGCTCTCACCTCTTGCACATTCTCCCTACACCATGGGGACAGGCAGACATGCTCTGCTAGGTTTTGTTCTGATTTTTGTTGATCTCCTAACAGCAGCTGCCTCAGTCCATGCAGAACCATGAGTAACACCAGGGTCCTCTTATACAGTGAACTGTCTTTGAATTATCCCATTCCATTGTTAATTTCTACCCAAATCTCTATCTACATTCTTTTTTTCTTCTTAAGTGACAAATAATAACTCTATGTATTTATGGGATGTGATGTAATGTTTTGGATTCTGTGTACAATGTGGATTGATTAGATAAGCAATAAATATAATAATCACCTAACTTACATATCTTTTTTGGTGAGACTTTAAAAAATTGGCTTTCAGTAGTTTTGAAATATAGAGTATATTATGACTAGTTCTATTCACCATGATGCACGATAGATAGCCAGATGATTCTGTCATCACTAACTGAAGCTTTGTACCCTTTGAATAACATTCCCTGCCTCCTCTCTCCAGCCTCTGGTAATCACCATTCTACTTGTTCCACCTAAATTCTTGCATACCCTTTTCAGCTTTAATATTTTATGATTTTATAAAATTTTTGTCAACTCTAAAGTAATTAGTCTTACTAACTTAGATGTAATTTGACTTAGGAAAATACCTTCTTAATTGTCTGCCACTAAGACCTAAAAGTACAGTGTTTAAGACCCACTCTTTTGTGTTGAAGCCGTTTAAACACAATAATCTTAAAAAGAAGGGTGAAATCCATTATTGTTTGTTATTGGATTAAATATTAAGGCTGGAGGGTCAATTTGAGTCAGATAAGACTCTAGGCAAGGCTCCTTGACCCTGTCTCTGTGTCTATTAAATGACATTACCTGATGTAAAGGGTTTATGGCAAGGATCGAAATGCCCTGACAATTATGAAGTACCAATAGGGCTTATTTTTTGTGTTGGAAAGAAATACATTAACAAAGGTTGTCACATTATTTTTCCCTTTCCTATGGATAGAAGAATAAGAATATTTGACTTTAAAAGGGGTATTATTATAGCTCATGTCTAGATGTTCCCCAAAGCCTCATGCAGTCATAGGTGGGGCTTTTTCAGAGGTGGCTGAATCTAGAATGTGTGATTAATTCATGGTGCAATGCTAGGATTAAGGGTCCACTGATTGGTTTAGCATGGCCCTAGTCCTGGTAGCTTGGATACAATATAATATAAGGGACAGAGAGAGAGGCTTGTTTTGCTTCCTTGCTTCCTTGCTTTACTGCCTTCTGCTTGCCATGAACTCTTTCTCCTCTGCAATGACCCTCTGCCATGCCACTCTGGCTTGGAGCCAGCAGATTAGGGACTGAAACCTTTACAGACTGAGCTAAATAAACTTTTCCTCTCTTAACTTGTGAGTGTTGAATATTTTGCCTCAGCAACAAGAGAGAAATAACTAAGACAGGTATAAAGGGAGATAATCTAGTGGTATTTAACACACTTTGAGATGGCATTCACTGGCTCCATTATAGACAGTTTGAGGACTAAAATATCTCTAATACCAGGAAAGAGGGAAAATGTCTTTGAAGTTCAGCTTTATCTATTTCTCAGTCATGATTTGGTTCAGTTATACAACTCTGAATTCCACACATAGTGATCTGAGTTTAGGGAGGAGAAACTGAAAATAAAAAGGAGGCATTGGGTGGTTTTTCAAAAATTAAATACAGCATTTGAAACCAATCCTAATAGAGTGTCTTTGTATAGTGAATAATTATTTCTTTTATTTTGTCCTTAAAAACTAAATTCAGGAGCTTGAGTGCTGCAGGCATAGTAGGGAAGTATGGAACCATCATGTCATTAGAACCTACCTTGAATGGGGCACCACTGCCAAAGCTGCTCATGTAAACAAAATTTCTTGCTGCTCACCATATTACCATGCCTTGTCAGGGTATAGACGTGAGGATGGTAATAATTATTGTGGTGAAACCACAGTCATGGAAAATGCATCTCTCCTCACCCAACCTGCCTGCTCCCTTTCCAGGCAGTACATGGTGCTGGTGCCCTCCTGGCTCCACACTGAAGTACCTGAGAAAAGCTGTCTCCACCTGTGCCACCTGAATGAGACAGTGACTGTAAGTGCTTCCTTGGAGTCCAGTGTGGGAAACAGGAGCCTGTTCAGTGACCTCGTCATTGACAAGGACTTGTTCCAGTGTGTTTCCTTCACTGTGAGTACAAGCTGCTGTCTATGGGACCGGGAGAGTGGTTTTCAATTTCAGAGAATTAACCTAGAAGGACATCAGTGACTTCAAAGAACAACGTAGAAAATTTGTCACAACCAAAGAAGAAAGTATACATTTTCCCACTCAAAACTGAGGCAGTTGGTAATTATGGATATGCTAATTTTTATTAAATTCTCACAAAAATCCTACTAGCCAGAGAAAGGATGAATTAGACAGGGCAGGTATTTTTTTTTATTATTAAGGTACAAATTGAAATACTGTTACTAAGAAGGGCTGCATCTTCTACATATATTCGATACCTTGAATTTATTTCTAGTTTTTTCTTTGGGCAATCCATCTTCAAGATATAATTCCTACCATCATTAGCATATTACATTTTCTCCTCTCCCGTGGTTTTCAGGGTTGTGTTTACTTTTTAATTAAGACATATTTACTCAACAAAAGTAACTGTGGTTTCATAGGTACTGTTTTAGTCACATGAAAATTTGGGTTTCATTCCTTACCCCCCTTTCTGACTTACTCTCCTCTACCTTGTATTTAAGTAATATTCATGGGAAATAGGCAAGTAAGGAAATAAATAACGTATGTGGGCTCACCTGCATTCCTATGGAGTAAAGGGAGAACAGGGCAAGGAGAAATGCTGCAGCCTCCACAAGGAGGATGACCATGGCCTTCTGATCTGTTTTTGTCCTCAACTCCCGAGATGCTCCTCCCCTAAGGAGGTCGCCTTCCTGTCTGTCCAGATAAAAGGACCGACACATGTGTTCAGGGACAGGATGGCAGTGCTGGTGAAGAACAGAGAAAGTGCTGTCATTGTCCAGACAGACAAGCCCATGTACACGCCAGGACAGTCAGGTAGGGGCTCCATGGATGCTGGCTCCACACATGAGATGTCCCCTTGGCGGGCTACCTGGAAGGCCCGCATCTCTCAGTCTACTCAGAAAAGTTTCCTTTTTCAGTGAAGTTTTGAGTTGTGTCTGTGGATAAAAATTCACGCCCGCTGAATGAGTCGGTGAGTATTTTATGACTATCAGTGGTATGAGTGGCAGAGGGGAGGAAGAAAAATGACCTGGAATCAGCCACAGGACCTTAACCCCAGAAGAGAACCAGATTGTCGTAGAGATGACACCAAAGGGAAGGAGCCAAAGAGTTCTTGTCTTCTGCACTTTTTAGGCACTCAGATGTTGTTAATGCCTTAGCCAGGAGGGAAGCCCTGTAGTGGCAAAGTGGAGGCACACCACATCATGACAGCCAGGTGAGGCCCTTCATGTAATTTAAGAACACAAATCCTCAAAAGCCTTACATCTCCACTCTTTGAAAAATCTCACCGTTCACCAAAGTATCTCAGGTATGAATCTTACTCCACAGGCTCAGGAATGCAATCAGGGTAACATTGTTTTAAATCAAATTAAACCTAAGAAAAACTGATTATGAGCATTCAGTCTTGGACATTTTGAAAATGCCTCATCTTCTCTGGGAGCATAAAACAATCCAGAAGATTTATACAGAACTCAGAAATTAGAGGGAAAGCATTGTTCTCTTCTCCCCCTTTCCATATAATCTGGAACAATTTTATTGTATTTGAGTTTGCTGTACCTGTGAGGTTTTTTACTAACATATTGTTTTCCTTTTGTTTTAGTTTCCTCTCATTTATATTGAGGTAAGAAACAAAGTATTTCTTGTTCAAAAGAAATAAGTATATTGAAAATAAATTGATGTTTGGAAAGTCATGACAATAGTCCAAGGATACTGTAGATTAAAAGGAGACGATATCTGAAGTTTTCCCACATTCCAGACAACTGGTGTGTTGTGTCCCATGCTCCTATTCCTTTCTTTCCAAGTAATATTAGTAGATACTTCCCAAATGATTAATGACTAATACAGTCTTCCTACATGCATCATAGCCTCTAATTCTTTATTTTCCTGTACATCTTATTACCTTTTTAATATATGTAGGACCCCCAAACAAATCAAATTATGCAATGGTGGGATATTACATCAGAGAATGGAATTAAACAATTGTCCTTCAGTCTGTCATCAGAGCCCATTCAGGGTTTCTACAAGATCATGGTCCTAAAGCAATCAGAAGCAAAGAAAGAACACTTCTTCAGTGTGGAAGAATATGGTATGGTTTTGGAAGATTGCATGTCATAGTGTCTGGCTACCAGAGTATGAGTCCATTTGAATGCATTTATTATGTATGGATAGGGACAGGCGTCAACTGATTCTATGAAGTACTAACACCTATGAACCTGGAATGTTATAAAAGTTTGGTTATTTTTGAAAGGAAATTATTTTCCAAAATTTGTTCTTTTTTCTTAAGTGGAAGCTTCTATGATTTTCTAGGATTAATATAACATATGACCACTCCTTCGTATGGTGTTACTGTAAAATTTTAAAGTTATCATTTCTGAGCACTGGTTTTCATTTAACCAACTGCAAAAACATCTTGCCCACCTGCTGTATTTCTGTGATCTCTTTCAATAGTGCTCCCCAACTTTGATGTGCAAGTAAAGTGTCCGAAGACTGTCTCATTCCTGGATAAAGAAGTGAATGTGACAGTGTGTGGAATGTGAGTTAATTTTACTTTCTTTCTCTACTACTAATAGCCTGTGAATTCATCAACTTTAATGTCTGTGAGATCAGTTTTGGGGGAGTTAAGAGTTTTTGGAGGTATATTTTTGCCTTGTTTTCTCATGTTTCTATTATTTTCATTCTGGAGGATCAGGTAGGATAGAAAAACACTGTTGCTACTGCAGACATCTCTTTAGTAAATGTGTGTTTCCATGTACTGTGACCTTGGCTTTATTATGTTTTGGTATTCACACACCTGTACAGGCTATTCAACATAAATTTAAAATGTTTTGAAAGACATCTCATTGAACCACCATAAAAATATACAAATACCTAAGCCATCTCTTCTTGTAAAACTTTCTGTTCATGACGTTCTTTTATATCCCCTCCAACTATAATTACCACTCTATATCTATTACATAAGAAAGTCCATTCCATCACTTGGAAGGAAAAAACAAGTTGGGATAATTCTAATAATGACAGAGCTTTAAAAATGATGAAATGAATGGTTTCAGCCAACAGTAAGTTTCACCCTTTGGAGAGGTGAAATACACTTGTCCTAACATATAAGGGTGTTCAGAAAACAAATGTGGCCTTGTGATGAACCATCATTGTGTTGAGACAGAGCATAAATCTCAGAGATCACAGTTCTTGGTCCAAGTATAGCACCTGTCACTAAGTCTCTGTAACTAAAGGATATTACTATCTTGTTTTGATCTTTCATTGCTGTATCAGGAAAGTGTGGATGTTGGTCTAAATAATTAAAAGTTGCTATTAAAGTTTGCAAGCATGGAAACCCAAAACAGCACTAGCAGATTTAACTTACACATCTCACTAAAGACCAAATACAAGAGACCTGCGTTAGCCTCCAATTCTGTTTTAAGATATTTCATTCAAGATTCTGAGAGGAATAAATGGATCAGAAAAGAGAAATAATAGACTAAAGTGAGAAAGACTGAGAAGGTTTTTAGTGAATGTTTCTATCAAGCCTTGCTTTCAATGAACATGAACCACGTCCCAATAAGACTTAAAGGCACAGACAACAATGGTTGAGAGCTAATGGCTGGGGATTTAGGGCACTGGTTTTGCCGCCTGCCTTGGAAGCACAAGGTCCCAAGTTCAATCTCCAGTACCAGAGAGAGAGAGAGAGAGAGAGAGAGCGAGAGAGAGCACACTAAGCTAATGTCTCAGCTTTACCACTTACCAGTTGAGTGGCCTTATTGGCTCACATAGCCTCAGTGTGTGCCTCATTTTCCAGAACTCCCAAATGGGGGAAGTAATATCATCTCTCTCTTGAGGTCATAAACAGGATGAAATGACATGATCTATGTAAAGTACTCAGAAAAAAAGCTTTGTTCATAGTCGTTTACTACAGCTGTCGTTTTTATCTTGGAACTACATGGAGTAAATCTATGTGACTAATGCATAGTATGGAATATGGATGGAAATAGAGAGGGTCTTTCTTTTTGGAAAAACCCTTGGTTCCTATGAATTTTTCTTGTGACAGATACACCTATGGGAAGCCTGTCCGAGGACATGTGAAGTTAAATATATGCCGAAAATATCTTGTCGACTATTTTTTTGGACCTCTGTATGTTTATTTCTCTGGCACAGGCACCGGATGTGAGGAAATCAGTCAAGAGGTGAGTGAAAGCTGTTCAGAGGCTTGTAAACATCCAAAAGAAGCTATAAATTGCAAATGTAGAAAGAACGTCTGGAAGGAAAAGCATACCAAAATATCCAAAGATGGTAGCTAAAGGACTGGGAGCACAGCTTAGTGGTACAGCATTTGTATGGCATACACAAGTCCTGGGTTGTTTCCCAGAATTGCCAAAAAGAAAAAAGAAAAAAACAACGGTAGTCCTCAAATCTACTATTATTGAAGGAAGACTTCCAGAGATTTAGAACTCAATTTGTCCCCCACATATTAGTCAAAAGAATGAAATAATGATGTTCATCACAGTTTATTATTTTTTATTAGTGCCATGGGTTGAATCTAGGGCCCCCAACTTACTAGGCATGTACTCTATCAGTTTCTAGCCAATGGTAGTTCTTTAAACAATAGGAAATGACTATTAAGTTCTTATGACATAGTAGTTGGTAGTCTAATATATATATTAATATATTTAATCTACACAAATCCTTACGTAGATGAGAAAACAAAGGCAAAGGGATACTACTCTTTTTTTTTTTTTGGTACCAGGGATCAAACTCAGGTCCTTGTGCTTGTGCAGCAGGCTGCGAAACCACTGAGCTAAATCCCCAGCCCAGGGATACTACTCTTAATGTGCTCAAGATCACGCCACACAGTAACTAAATGTTAGCGCTAAACCCAGTGTTTAAATCAGAATTCTAAGCAGTTGGTTATTTCCAAAGAAGGCCTCTGTATGGGTTTGACCATGTGTCTGGTTGGTGCATCATGCTGTTTAACCATGTTTTTCTCACTTATCAGCTGGACAGCCAAGGCTGCATCACACAACCAGTAATGACCTATGTGGACTTAGTAGATTGGCAGTTGGCTCAAGTTGCTGTTCTTCAACTGAATGCCAAGATTATAGAGGAGGGGACAGGTATGTGGGCAACATAAAATTATGGAAGCCAGGAACATTGACACCTTTTTCTCGTCAAGAGGGAAGGGTGAATTATGCAGAAAAATAATTTGAAAGCCAGTGATTCTTCTCCATTCTTCACCAACTTCTTTCTCAGGGTTGGAATTCACCAGAACTGGGACGACTGAAGTTAACAAAGTCAGAATCAATCTTGTACTTGTGCAAAAAGATTTTTACTTCAGACAAGGGATTCCATTTGTTGTGCAGGTAAAGTACTTCCTGATTCCCAGGTATTTAAATTGTGCTGTAGCATCAAACAACACAGACCTTTCTGCTCAGGATGTGACCTGGTCAGAACTATTGATGGTAGGGCAGTGGTGGAGCTCAGTGGTAGAGCAAATTCTTAGCATGTACCAGGATCTGACTTCACCTCGTAGCATCAGTGACTAAAAATTAAAAAAATTATCTATGGCTTCTTAAGACCACAACATATAATCATATATAACAGATCTTTTTACTTAAAAATATTGCTCATTAGAACTACAAATCTCAAAGCATAATGTTTCATTGGTTGAATAACAGGAAGTAAATATTGATAATAAATCTATACCAGCCCTCATTTCTTGGCACATATTATTTTCTGTCTCTAATCATGAACAAATATCAGTTCTTTTACAATTTTTCCTTAAGTCAGTACATCTGATACTGTTAGTGCATGTGATGAAGGCATGGGCTACATCATAAATGATGTAGTGATGGAACTCTGGGAAAACATGGCCCAGCACGGCACAGCTGGTTCTAGTGCTCTGAGAACAAGAAGGTGTCATGGGCCAGGCTGCCCTCACTGTGATCAAGGGCTTTCCCTTGGGAACAGGACTTGGCCTCCGCAGTACCCGCACTGGAACCCAGGTAGTGGCTGCTCTCTCCTCAGTCCACACAACCTCCTGAATAAAGAATGAAGATGAAGTCCTTCAAGTTTTTAATCTATGGCCTGACTGCTAGGGTTCCTGGAGGTAGAGTTCATGGGCTGGAGTTTGATCTTGCTCTTCTAGGTAGTTTTTTATGGGTTCTTGGTTACATTCATTCACACTGTGTGCTATGCCTCAGGTTATGAAAATGAGGTTCCACATGAGTGTCACTAGATTCCTATCTATATTTCCCCCCAAATATGGACTGCATTAGAATATATATTTAGTGTGTATCATCCAAGGTCCTACAAAGGGTATGTTAAAGACCTTAAAGAAGTTCCTAGAGTCAGAGGCTTTAGGAAATCAGAAGGCTTTCATGGTCTGTCCCAAAGGAGTAATTTTTTGAAAAGGGTCTAGTTTATGTAGCACTTCAGTTTCCTATTTTGTGACTTCAGACTTGCAGTGGTATGAATGATTCTGATTTGGCTATTCCAGAGGAAGCCTTTGTATCACAGAATAATTGGATTTAAGCCTGAAGGAGGACAAATGATAGAATGTGATTCAAAGGATGAAAACAGCACCCTGGCCAACTTATCCTAGTATTGGAGATATAGATCTAGTGTATTGTCCATCTTATTGGTTAAAAACTGCAGGTCATCTTTGGATTGAGCTGTACCAGAAAAGAGGGATAGTTGAGGGCAAAATTAATGGATCATCCAAATGAGAAAGCCAGGATGATCATGACAAGTCTTGGGGTGAATTATGTTCAAGATCATGGCACATGTATCGTATGAGCAGGATTGCTCCACACAGTGAATGTGTTATCTGCCTTTGTTTTGCATCAGAGGAAACTATCATTTTGGAATTATGGGATCATATTGAGAAAGTTTGGTATAGAACACAGGGGTAACAACACAAATGTCTCCAGACCAGAACGTTCAGTATCCTCTCCAGCACCTGCTTTGCTCATGCTACTCTTTGTTGTTTAATCTGATGAGTCTTTTGTAATTTGTTTCTTTTTTTTTTTTGGTACCAGGGATTGAACTCGGGTCCTTGAGCTTGGGAGGCAGGCGCTAAATCCCCGGCCCTTGTGCTGCTCTTTGAACCAGGGTTTGCTGCCGCATAGGGACCCTTGACTCTCAACACATAGAATGGAGGTTTTATCCTTTTTTCTAGGTGGTTTCATTGCCAAGTGTCCATATTATAATGTGGTGAGAAAAGAAAATATCTTATGGATTCAACACTCATTAATTTTCATATTTTTATAACAGCAGTGTTTCAGGAATAAAATATTAATCCACCAGCATAAATGATACTATATGAAGTGTGATCAAAATAAGTGGTGAGTGTTTAAATTTAAAGTTTATTATAATAAAAGACACATTGTAAGTAATTCCCCTCAAAATATTCTCCCTCATGCTGAATGTGCTTATCCCATTGTTATTTTTTCTCCTCAGCCAGAACTATCTAATTCTAGTTATGATTTCAGTGAATAAATTCTTTAAAAATCTCAAGTCATTGTCTCAACTTTCCTTCTTCCAATAATTCTTAAATCCATTTTTTGAGTCATCCAATAGTTGCTGGAGCAGTTTCCATGGTATTTTCTTGTTTCTAAGGTATCACTGAATATATTATTTTCTACATTGGTGATGCCAAACCTTTTAGAGACTGAGTGCCCAAATTTCCACCCAAACCCACTTTTTTATTGCGAAGTGACAACACTGCAATTAAACCTGAATCTGAGGTTTTAGTTTAGAAAAAATAACTCTACATTAACTTCATTTGTCTTAAGAGAAAAACAAACGGGTGCCATAGGTTCGCCACCACTGCTTTTTATTTATTTATTTATTTTTATTTTTATTTTTTATTTTTTTGCTTAAATTCTTTTATTGGTTCATTTTAGGTATACAGTACATTTACGTTTATCAGTGGGTGCTTGTACCGGTACACGATGTATCTTGGTTCTTATTTTTTCCTCATTACCTGTGCACCCTTCACCCCTCCACCCTTCCCTATTTACATACTTCATTTCCATTTTTTTTCTTTTCTCATAATTTTTCTTTTCCGTTCTTTCCTTTCCCCATCTCCTCCCACCACCCCTACCCCTTTGGACCTTTTCCTATTTCAAAGTATCAATTATTAGTTATTAATCCTTTTAGTCCTTATTACACTTTCCGTTTCTCACACTTGAGAAACTATTTGGTATTTACACATGTGTGTCCTATTTATTTCTCTTCAGAGTATGGCCTCAATATGCATTCGTTTAGCTACAAATGACTCTAGTTTTTCATTCTTTATGGCTGAGTTGTACTCCATTTTATAAAAAAACCCACATCTTCTTTATCCAGTCTCCAGTCGATGGGCACTTGGGCTGTTTCCAAGCTTTAGCTATTACAAACTGTGCTGCTATAAACATGGGTGCACATATATTACTGTGGTATGATTCTTTTAATTCTTTTGGGAAAATACCCAGCAGGGGAATAGCTGGGTCAAACAGGACCTCTAGCCCTAGTTCTTTGAGGTATCTTCACACCGATTTCCATAGTGGTTGCACCAGTCTGCGCTCCCACCAACAATGGAGAAGGGTTCCTTTCTCTCCCCACAACCCCGCCAGCATTTGTTATTGGTTGATTTCTTGATAGCAGCCACTCTTTCTGGGGTGAGGTGCAATCTCAGTGTTGTTTTCATCTGCATCTCTTGAATGACCAGCACCACTGCTCTAAATCAACTTTGTTTCCAACTTCTGGTGCTCTTTCCTGACAATGTTGTGCCTGTTACTCGTATTTTCAGTTGCACTTTTTATATCCTGCATTGGTGCTTGGTTTCTTTTCACAATCTCTAATTTTTTTTTTACCAAAATGGTCATTCATATCTTTTATTGTCTTGTTTTGCTCAATGAGCTTATTGTTTGTATCCTTTCAAAACTTGCTAAAATTTTATTTTAAAAAATTTAAATTTTATTAGTACCCATTTTCAATACATAATGATTACATTCCTCAAGGGGAATTGGTACAGCGACATAAGACATCTTAGTTCTTTTTTCACCCCCTCTCATCATTCCCTCTGGCCTCATGGTCCCCTTCCCATTTGCAAACGATATATCTCCCTATTTTCTGTTATCTATGCTGATTTTTCTCTTTATTTATGTCTTCAGTTTCTCATATAAGAGAAACCATGTCATATTTAAGCTTCTGTGTCTGATTTATTTCACTTAGCATTATGGTCTCAAGGTACATCCATTTTTCTGCAAATGACTCAAGTTTATTCTTTATGGAAGAATACTACTCTATTGTGTGTAAATGCCCTCTTTTCTTTACCCATTCCTCTGCTGATGGATGCATAGGACGCTTCTAAGATTTAGCTATGAAGAAATGTGCTGCTGTACACATGGGTATGTATATACCACTGCAATATATTTTTAACTTTTTCAGGAAGGTACCTAGAAGGGGGACAACTGGGTCAAATAGAATGTCTATTTTTAGTTTTTTGAGGAATCTCCACACTGATTTTCATAGTAATGGTACTTGTTTACATTCTCATCAAGAATGTAGAAGGGTTTCTTTTTCCCTACAGCCTCACCAGCATTTGTTATTACTTGATTTCTTGATGACAGTCATTTCCCCACAATTTGTAGGTTATTCCTTCACTCTATTTGTTTCCTTTGCTATGCAGGAGGCTTGTAATTTGATATGAGTTCATATCATTGTTGATTTTTGGTGTCAATTCTTGTGCCCTAGGGGTTCTGTTTTTCCCTGCCTACACCTATGTCTTCAAGAGTTTTACCTAGTTTATCTTCCAGAAGATTAAGTGTTTCTTCTTTAACATTCAGATCTTTGATCCGTTCTTGATTTTACTTTAGTACATGGTGAGAGATACGTGTTTAGATTCAGTCTTCTGCATGCGGGTAGACAGTTTTCCTAGTGGCATTTATTAAAGAGGCTACTTTTTCTCCAGTGTGTGTTTTTGTCTCCTTTTTCAAAGATTAGATAGCTGAATGTATCTGGAGTTTTTTTTTTTCTGCATCCACTATTCTATTCCATTGATCTACACGTCTATTTTTCTGCCAATATCATGCTGTTTTTATCACTGTGGATTTGATATATAACTTGAAGTCTGAGATTGTGATATTCCTTCCTTTGCTCTTATTGCCCAGGGTTGCTTTTGCTCTTTCTGGGTCTCCTATGGCTTCATATGAATTTTAGGATTGTTTTTTGTAGTTCTTGGGTGAATGCTATTAGCATTTTGGTTGGGATTGTAATAATCTATTTTTTTTTTTTTTTTGGCACTGGGGATCAAACTCGGGACCTTGCGCTTGCGAGGCAGGCGCCGGAACCACAGAGCTAAATCCCCAGCGATTGTAATAATCTATATATCAGTTTTGGAAGTATTGCCATTTTGACAATATTCATACTGTCTATCCAGAATCAGGGTATATCTTCCCATTTTCTTGTCCTCTTTGATCTCCTTTTTCAAAGTACTGTTGTTTTGATTGTAGAGGTCTTTTACTTTAATTTTAAAATATTT